TCGCTAAGAGTCGGTGGTGGTCTCGCAGTCAAAGAATCGATACCGATGGAGAAGGTGATTCGCGTACAGATATCGAGTGACACCACAAGACCCATCACTGGAATAACATCTCGGTGAATGGATTTTGGTCGAAGTACTTTATACCCGGGGTCGATCCACGACCCCACGAAGGCGAACGGCACTGCATCGCTCTCCACCATCCGCCTTCCACTGCCGGGTGTGAGCGTTGCGATCGACCTGGTGCGCCACGAGTCTTTAGGTAGGCATGCACTTTATTGACACTCGAAGATCATTGATGATCAATTGGTCGGTAGGTGCCCGCCGCCATGGTGCCACCATACGTGTGCCATGGCCAGCCCTTCACCTGTCTCAACTCTACCACCGAGATCTCAGCCATGCTATCGACTGAAAAACTCATTCGTGTCCTGCACCAGCCGTTCAGCACTCACCACGATCTGATTCTCGGCCAACGTCGATATCTGATGAACGGGAGCCTTGTCTGCTTTTTTTTCTTCAGGGAAATCGATGCCCAGCATATCACCCTTACTTGGACATATGTTAGAAGGCATACTGCTTAATCTTCCCGCTCCGTCTAGCTAGGAATGGATGGCAGCTTGCAAAGACCTAAGAGTGATGATTTGCCCTATTTGAAGAGTCTCTTAACGCTCAATATTTCGGTACCTTTTCCAAGTAATTTAGACCAGCATGAGATACGTAACATCTTGCGGGCCATTTGGGTGCGACACCCTGACTCGCGGGACACCGGTCCTAATGGGAACCAAAAGGTTCCCATTGGGACCGGTGGGTCCCGCGAGGCAGGGTTTCGCACCCAAATGGATCTCAGAAGTGGATCTAGCATGGGTGCCGCACCAGGAGACGGAAATCCGGCCCTGAAACTCTCGCCAGAACAGGTGTGAACAGAGGCTGTGATCCCAGCACGCCCTGATCCTACCGGCTCAAATACCATCTTTTGAGGAGAAAAACGAACTTTTTGACCCGTGGTCGATCTCCAGCGCACCACTGGTCTTTTCACTCAATATCTCCTTTGAGCAAAAAATTGTGTTGTTTAAAGTGTTGAGGCGCGATCCGCCATAATGATAAAATCGGCGCGCATATTAAGGCAGGGATCAGTTTTTGAAAGGAAGCTCGGCAGGTAAAGTGAACACTAGAGACATGGTGGATCGATGTAGGCCGGCCGCACGCAGTGCGTGCCGGGATTCGAATCTCGGCTGCGACCTCTTTTTGCCACGGTTGTAAATTTTGCCGATTCAGAGTAACATTCACCATCCAGGACACAGCGATCCCTATAACTTCTTTTTGCCATCCAGGGAAATATGGGTGCGAAAACCTCCATCTCCAAAAAATGTAATAGCCGGCTTATCGCCAACGAAAACTCTGTGGGAGTCCCTGAGATCCACAGAATCAGATGACCGGTGAATGATGACGGCCACATTTCTGCTGGTATTCACACCACCCTTGCCTCTATCCGACCGAACATACTCAATCGGTTCGTACTCTCGCATTCACGATCGTTTGAGCTCTCTTCACTATTGGGCGACCTAGTGTGGTGCAAAACCCGCACGGCCAAACTCCACAGTCCCGTTTTTCCAACAGAGCCCTCTCAGGGCTGAAACGTACTCGGTGCGGGTGCGGTGCAGCAAATCTTTAAATAAGAGAACCTAGACCTGCGTTAGTACTCGGTGCGGGTGGGGTGCAGCAAATCTTTGAATAAGAGAACCTAGACCGATAGGTGAGTGATATGTGATAAGCAAAACCATGCGCTAGTTGGGTGTGATCCCATCTGCCCTCCATTCCACTGCTCCATTAGACACTTCTGCTCTGCCGTTCTTAACGCTCTGCTGTTATAGGTGTCGCCTGCAGGCAGGCGCATTCAGGCGAGTTTCTTTCAACATTTCTTCCTATGTGGTTGTTATTCTGTATAGTTCTGATAATTCATCATCACAGTATTTCTAATGAACACAAATTATCGATTCATTGTAGCTCAGTTCCGTTTAACATTAAGCTATATCACGATTCAGCGATGTGTTCATGACATAATAAAATGCAGGACTCGGGTCTCGAAGCATTTCGTCCATCACTCAAACCAATGGCGTGTTATGGCTGAAAATGGAAATCCTTCATCGATAGGCACCTTAATGGCTCAACAATTAAGTGAACATATGTAATTTTCTGCATAATAGAAGGAAATTATATGTTCGATCACAGCGAAATTGATAATAGACATACAGAAGAGTTCGAATCAATCTATGACATATAATAGTAACTTTCCAAGGTCATTGAAGGTGGGATCTTGACCTCAAAGGATTAACAGACAACAAAGCAAGGGGGAACAGACTTCTTTCAAAATACAAGTATTCTTTGGCACCTCGTGTGAGCAAAAAATTGAAAGGCATTGGGGTGTAAAGTCACATTGGCGATCTATCATCATCCTGACTACAGTATCCCAACTAGACAGCTTAGTCAAATCGGTACGGTAAACATTACACTACCATGATGCATTTAGACATAAATGATCTGAAAAATACATATTCACACTTGACTGACTCTGCTTCTTCGCTGACTATCGTAGGACGAAGAGGGAGTGACGACAGTGGTCCGACTTTTCCGAGGATAGACTTGAGAAGAGCTTGGATCTACAATGCAGAATGAAACTGCATGCATAGAAAAAGAAGGTTACAGTGTCTTGCCAGAGCGTATACCTACCGTTAGGACCTTGGCGGAGAGCGAATGGATAGCCTGACGAAGAGGGCTGCATAACTCGATGGCGGTTCTGTGATGGGCCTGCCCAACTGCGACTATGTGCTGGAAATGACCACTCTGAGCCCTTCTGTTGAAACAAGTACTCGAATAACGTGGAACGACAATTTTGGCTGCGTTATTTATTTATTTATTTATTTATTTATTTGTTGGTCAATCACAGAGTGTGACAAACAGAAAGGAGGAGTAGCTTAATTAGAGGCCCAATCGATTTTGATCTTTACTAAGGTTAAGGGCACGTGCGAAACGGAGACTAAACTACTCTTTGAATCCCACCCCCTGAATAAATTTTGAATAAATTTTGAATAAAGCACACATAACAACATAGAGATCGGAAAACAAAAACAAAAACAATTTTAATTTCACAAATAGAACAGTTTAATCATATATAAAACCATTAATTTTACTAAAATATCCAGTAAATTAGACATTGGAGAAGAACGCAGCCTGAACAGCCTTAAAGCAACAGTTCCAGGACGAATTTACGAGGTAAAAACCGTTGATAATGTAGTTATAGCCCACAATTTGACCGACAGTAATGAAAAAACCAAAGAAAAACGCGGAATAAGGCTTTGAACAGGAACTCACCCTCTGCCCTTAGCGATGAGAGAAGACGCGTGCTGGACGAGTTGTCCGAACCTGCGCTCCAATTGCAATTGCTGGCAAATAGCCATAATAGTTGGCCATTTGCCAGCTCTTGCAATTGGAGTGCAATCTCTAGCTCATTCACTAACAGTTCGATCACCCCTCAAACTACTGCAATTCGACCCTTCCATTTAGCTGGGGAGCCCTTCCATTTAGCTGGGGAAGCCTTGATTCCGCTAATAACTGACTGACTTGGTAGCCATTACAACAGATTACAACATTACATAACACCACATAACATAACAACATTAGAACAACAAAAAAAAGAAGCAATTCCACTGCAACCATCGATTACTTTAAAGGACAGAGTTCAAATACCCCTGTGGTCCCGAAACGAGCACGAATGCCTCCGTAGCCAATCACGGCTGGCAAGTGGGCGGTCCCGAAGAAATCCCCAACCACACCCATCTTTGAGGATTTAACGCCCTTTTTGGGCTTTTCCCAGGTGAGTTTTCTTTATAACTTCACTTCAGATGTTTTCCAATAGGGCCTGCGTATCCTTTAGTGCCATCAGTATTGAAAGAAGCAGACCCTGCTGGGACTGTTGCTTTAAACCGCCTGCCTACGGTCTGGGGGCCTTTTCAAATAATGTTTTTTGGTGAAACTCCAGTTCGGGGGGGCCACTCCATTTTTTCTCCAATACTCAAGATAAGGATTAGAGGGCTCACGACACGTAATCGACTCATTTAAAGTAGACTTCTGATAAGTATCGGTGTAATGTGGAAGAAACCCTGAGATGATTTCATATTTTCGCCTGCTGGTCCAGGGAAACAGTCCTGGACCAGGAGAAAGGACACCTCCGCAAAGGGCTAAGGGTGCAGGAGCTCCAGGGTGGATCACCTGTGCAGAAAAGTGGATGGGATGTGGGCAGGTAGTGTGGAATGTAGGACATCCACCGGTCCTTATCAAAAGTACGCTCGAAATGAGTCGTTCACTTATTATCTTATCCGTAGTGTTCGATAGCCCAAAGAACTGCTCTCTAGTACTACGGATAAGATAGCAATGGAGTGGCCCCCCCGAACTGGAGTTTCACCGATTTTTGGTATCACCTTCTTTTAGTGACCTTTCTTGTTGCAAAACAAGTCTGAAAAAAAGAGCCTTAAAAAAGAAAAGACGAGATAGCAAGGGCTTTTCTTTTGTCGCAAAGTTCGTCTCAAACTCGGAGAAGGGAAGAAGTTCCAAGCTGTTCAAGTTCTATAAGTGCCACTGCTTTGAGTGGAGAAATTATATCCTACGTAAGTTAGAACTAAAGTTCACGAAATTAGGCTGCATGACAACTCTTTCATATTTTTGCAGAGAGCTTCCATTGAGCCACGTCTTTTCTTCTCATTGTTCTTCGCCTATAAAAAAAGGATGGATAACCACCAGCATGTTTCCAAGTGGAAATAATGCAGCAGACTTCCAAAGAATGGAGAGAATTCTTTTTGCGGCCTCAGGCCGGAATTTGCTCTTAATGTGAAACACTTGTATTTGGCTGATTTTAAATTAGAGGTTTTCTTTCAGGTACACTCTACAATGAGTTTTGCGTAATCCATGGGTGGTTGTACAATTATTATACATCGAGCAGTGCATGGTGACAAAGTTCAATGAAACTATTCACTAATTTCGTTCAAGGGCGGAAGTGGTGTAGTGGCAAGTGGCTTACCACGCGAGCGGTCCGGGATCAAATCCTGGGTCGTGAGTCGCCCGGGCCAACCAAGCCTTCCATCCCTCCGGGGTCGGTTAATTGGTACCAGACTTGTCTGGGAGGATAAAAACACTGACTTGTACATCGGCTGGCCCCCGCAAGTCATTGTATAGGCCACATCGCATTCAAACGCTTGAAAAAACTTTGCGCCGTCCCCACCAGAAATTGATACGTTGTCCCCTTGCTTTACAAGCTAGCAAAAAGAACGAAAAAAGCGTTGAGATTAATCCAAACAACCAGTGAGGATATAAAAAATTTGAATTCCCGCCGTAAAACTGTCACAACTGTTGGCGTTGTGAAGCCAACACGTGCAAAACTGTTGAAAGCGTAACGGTGAACGGGTTTCACGTTGAACCTCCAAAAATTCTACGCGGCTTCGCACCTGCCATGTACTTCGTCAAAAGAGGACCTTTGGAGAGAACGAGAACAGTTTTTCGGTGGACAATCCCTTCAATCACGTTTCGGTGTAGAAGTCTAGCTTTGCATAAAAGAAGGAAAAAATCGGAAGCTGTAGTTGCCAACGTAACGACCTTTCACGCAACACTCCAAGAATCCTTTATTGATTTTTTTGTGGAAGGATTTTCTCATTGTTCTGATTTGACACAACGAATAGCAAAGTGAACATTACTATACTAATTATCTGGCCTACACTATGTTTCTATTCCACCAGAGTCAATCGTCAACATCAGGAAAATGTTGAATTGGACGACGCCACCTCTGGGACCATGTTCCTAACACGATCTTTACAACGACCGGCGGTACACGATGTTGTCAGACCTGGTTCTTCTCGAACACAGCCAGGAATCCGCTTCAGACTGCAAAAGTGAAGGCGAAGGGATGAATGCGAATGCTCAAAGGTCCCCAAAACAGGTTCCATTCGTAAGTAGTTTGCGCCCTGTGTATCCTTGTACCCTCAACAGTAAGACTGCAAGTTTCACGAATGCGATCCCCTCCATCAAATCCTACAACCTCCCTATCTCGTTGGTAAAATCCCAACGGATTGTTGACCCTGATTTTCTTGCCGAGCAATCTAGCTCTATGGAAGCCGACAGCATGAACTTTTGACGCACAAGTGTAACGCGAATGTTGTAATACTGTAAACAATACAATTCGTATAACTTCATATATGTAGCGTATATAAATAAATAAAAGGATAAAGCATTTGCCGTTGATCAATCCCTTTTTGGGATGCGGCACGCATTCTACTTCCATTTGTACATTCGCAGTGGCGTTTGAATGCGATGTGGCCTATACAATGACTTGCGGGGGCCAGCCGATGTTCAAGTCAGTGTTTTTATCCTCCCAGACAAGTCTGGTACCAATTAACCGACCCCGGAGGGATGGAAGGCTTGGTTGGCCCGGGCGACTCACGACCCAGGATTTGATCCCCGGACCGCTCGCGTGGTAAGCGCGCCACTTGTCACTACACCACTTCCGCCCGTATTAAAAATTAAATATTTACATTATATATAAATTATATGCTATCTAATCAATATTTCTGGTATAACTGCTCATACCGCATTTCTTCTGTTTTTTCACTATCTGAAACGAAAGAGGACTTTTTGGGGGTCTCGTACGAAGAAAGGTTCGATGGAAGCAGAAAGGGTGAACGAGCTGAAGACGCGAACGACGGTAGCTGGTATGACGAACCTGGTAAATGTTTGGATTTTAGAAGCAGATCGCACAGCTTAGTTCAACCAATTAAGGTTAAGCTCCAATCGTATTACCGTAATCGCAGATGTTTGTCAGCGTGTCATCTAGGACATGGATTATTCGCAGGTTCCACTTAGCTACACTTAATTGGAACACGTATCATACCGCTTCAGATGGCAAAGGACTGTATTTCTAACAAACATTGGTGATGATATGCCCATGTGTATACTGTTGTACGATGCAATAATTTTTGGGCGCTATCGCTATACGGAGCATTGTGACGGCAATGCATTTAAAACCACGTAAAAAATCTTTTTTTTCTGTTGAATGGGACTGAGCCTACAGGAAAGGAGAAGAGACTTCAAGGTGCGTGAGGCATATTCATTCTTCCTAAAGCTCCTGCCTCTTCCTAGTCTAGTACCTAGAGACTGGGCCCGGTGTTCGTGTATTGCGAATAGCGCCGATTTTGTGTGCTACGTGCCAAACACAAATGGCGTACCACAGTCCAAAGGCCTCGACTAGCAACTAGCCGTAAAATCTTCGAATTCGATATTGCAAAAAGGCAGCCCATGTTCTCAAAGGAGCTTGCTGTATACAGCCTTCGACAGGGCAGGGGACCTGCGATTTATTTGAGGATACCAGTTGGCGCTGACGCTGTGCGCGACAACGCAGATCTGCATCGAATTTCGATGGTGCGGCGAAAATTTTCGTTTTGGCTTGATACACCACAAATATCTGAATTCTCAGCTAAATTCTATCCGCTCCATCATCGACGGCTTTCAACCTCTTTTTCTTCGTCAACCATTATCCTCCTTTTCCCGGTCTCCGGACTGCTTCCGGACAATAAATCTCGTGGCAAACTCCGCCTACTTCGGTGCGTGCCCCGCTCCACCAATAGCATTTGGCCCCCTTCCTTTCGCCGACCTCTACCCCTTTTTTCCCCGGTCTCTGGGACCTCTGGGAACCAAATTACGACACTTTTGGCAAACTCCGCCCACTTAGGCGCGTGCTCCGCCCACCAATAGCAGTTGAGCTCTTTCCCTCACCAACCTCTAACCTCGTTTTCCCCTATCTCTAGGACCTCTTGCAACCGAATTGCGACACTTTTGGCAAACTCCGCCCACTTTAGGTGCGTGCTCCGCCCACTGAATAGCAGTTGATCTCCTTTCCTTCGCCGACCTCTACTCCCTTTTTCCGGGCCTCTGGGACTTTCCGCAGCCGAGTTATGAATTTTCGTCGCAAACTCCGCTCACTTTGGTCAAGCCTCGCCCACCGATGACTCATACCTCTATGCCACTTCTATCCACCCTTTTCCGGCTCATCAAGGCTTCCAGCCCGAATTATGAGGACTTGTAGAAAATGCTGTACACTTCAGAGCGCGCTCCACCCATTGTGGGCAGGCCTCCGCCCACGTCATGTATGCTGGGAACACCTTAGACATTGCTCCCCTACACCAATTTGTTTTCTGCTCTGTAGGCTTTCTCCCAACCGAGTTATGAAATTTTTCATAAAGCACTGCTTTTTTGGAGAACGCCCCGCCCACCGGGGGGGGTCTCCCTAATTCGATGTGACTTACCAATGCACCTTTACCCACTTGGCCCAGTTTCAAGGTCGTTTTCTAAGAGAATTGAAATCTCGGTCATCAGTACACTTCATGTCGACGCACGCCACGCCCACTGTGGGCGGGGCTCCGCTTAGCTGATGTGTGTTTTGTACTTCGTGAGACCTTGCCCACCCGTCCCACACTTGACCCGGTCCCTCCAGGCGGATCCCGAGGAGCTAGGGAATTTCGTGACAGACATACAGAACGACAGACAGAACGGGACAGACGAAGCGCTTTATAAGTATGAGATCGGATGCGGTTGGGTTGGCTATAGCAATAGAATACCTTGTAGAATGAAATGGTTTCCTGTTGACAACAGAGGTTCCCATTCAGGGTGCTCAGTTATATGTACTAGGTGAGCTACAAAGCATGAGCTAACAAGCCTCAAGATGAAGGGCGGCTTCGACAGATTATTGGACAAGCCGGTCAGTTTCGGACACCAGAAACCTGGATGCATTTTATGCATAAGAGCTGAGAATAGCAAGGGGTCAGTGCAGGATCAAGCATGAGTCGCGCGAATATTAAAGGCACGCTCCGCGATCAGGCGGGCTCGCCGGTTCCATCCAGGGGGTAGTAGGCAGGTGGACAAGTGTTGATGTCGGGCCCCTTTTGCGGCTTGAAAGTACGCGACAAAGGCGCAAGGAGCTCGTCCAACCCGCAACTCACACCTTCGTCCGCAAGCCCCACCCTTCGCTGTCGGTTGCCACGTGGCGCTGCTTGAAAAGCGCGGGCGCATTTGAGGCAGTGGTCCCAGCGCGATCCAATGTTATTGACACTGGAGCAAGTAGAGTTAGGTTCGTGAAACTCGTCCAATTCGCCTCTTCTCTATCCCAAGGTGGAAATAGGGGAGGTCTCTGTATGGGGCGTAATCGGTGGTTTCGTTTGCTTTCCTTCTCTTTTACAGACCACCTCCCACCTATAACTTCATAACTGCACGGTTTTCCACACCAATTTTATCCCGAATCGTTGTCTTTAACAAAACCTCCCCATTTTCTCTCCCTCGCAATATCGCCTCCCAAAAGTCTTCAAGCAGAGGCTGCAACCACCCCTCCCCCTTCAAAGTTCCAAATACGATCTGGCGCGTGTGATTCTGCAAGACGACAACTATATGGTTTCAGGATGATAGAATTTTGATGAGGAAAACTGACGAAAGGTGTCGGTTTTGTTTTGCTCTCCTTCCTCATCGATCGCATCGACAGAGGTCCGCTGTGTTTACGAACTGCAGTGTTGCTGTTGGTGGACTTCTCTGAAAAGTGCTCAGACTAATGATGGCAGACGGTGTTTGAGTTGATTTGTAAAGAACCGAACTAACCAAAACGGCTCTGTTCTGACAGTCGTTCTATTTCGTTGTACCCTTGATTGTAAATGCCCCGGTCGGCGTCCATTTTTTCGCTAGACGTGCTATCTTGAGATAAGTCGAAAGCCCCATTATATTGGCCTCCACTGGGCGGACATTACGGCTTTGTCCTAAATATTAGTCGCTATCAGAACTAACTTTCATTATTCACCTGCAGTGAGCTGCATAAACACTAAGTGTCGCAAGTAAGGGCACACCTCACAATTAGGTCACTCGAGTGAGGCACCAGCCCGAGGGAGGTAGATCTTGAGGATTCGGTACACTCTGCATATACTTGAGGCGGTTTCCATACGCAAGGTATATTCGAATGTGCCTCACAAAACTGCCAGGCAGGGGGCTAGTGCTTGACAATGCAAAAACTCGACAAGATGCCCGTCGCTCGGTGAGAATGCCGAGATAGAAATGTCAGCGGACGAGTCGCAGCCAGGGTCAACCCTATCGTTGTTACTCCCCCCGCCTCATTCGACAAAAATTTTCTACGACCCCCCTCCCCCAAGGTGGATTTGGTACGACCCCCCTTCCGACACCTCGATCACCATATTCCTCTCTATAACACTAACTTCCACTACCACTCAACCCTCAAAACTCCGCCCACTTTTTCCTCCAAAAATGCCGTCGAGCGGGGGGGTATATAGTCCCTCTGAAACAGTAAAAATTTTCCCATAATTTCCCACAATCCCCTAAATTTTCCACCAATTTGCCCAATTTCTCCCTATAATCTCACTGTTTCCTTTTCTAGGGGGGGGGGGGGGACAAACTCAACCAGGTACGACCCCCCCCCGTTGTTACTCGTAACAACGTAGGGTTGACCCTGGGCC